AGTTTTTTAGTTTTTTTTTTCTGGGCCTCTTGGCCCACCAGCCCTTCTGCCGTGGAGTGTGCTCGCGCGTCGCCAGATTGGGCTGCCAACGTCGACGCTGTGAAAAAGCCGTCTGCAGCCGTGACCTTGGCACACCGGGCGGTAGGAAGTCCCGAAAGATGACGGCTAATTGCTTTGACGTCTGCCCTACAGCCACCACCTTGGTACACGGTTAAGGCAGGCGTGCGACGTTCCACAACCTGAATTTCTCCGCAGTTGCCTCTGTCCCCACACCCGGGAAGCAGGAAAGGGCGCAATCATCAAGTCGGTGTGGCCTGGGCATGGAGGCGGGGAAGAATATTCTCGTCGGCGCGGTATATGGCTGTCCACTCAGCTATGCCGTCGAGCCAAGCTCAGAACGGCCCAGCACATCGCGATGCCCCCAGGCAAGGGCGGGCTCCCATCGGCAGGTCGATGACACGCCCCACGTCAAGCTGCGCTCAACAAGCGATGGCATGGGGCTCGACTTTTCAGCCTTTCTCACCATTGAACGTGTGCCGCCCGAGTCAAGGTAGCGTCTCGCTTGGGAAGGAGTGTCTCATGGAGCTAAGGGGGAGAGGGCAAGCGTTTCGTTAGGGCTAGGGGCAAAAGGCGGCTGAACAGCGCACGCGCGCACACAACACGCAACTTGGGGCTCCAGACTCCTTCCTGATATTGGTGGCGCTGGCTAGCCAGTTTTGACTAGCAACCCGCCGCTTATTACTCAGGGTTGCGGTTTTGGAGGCTGGGCAAAGCGGTTAATAATAGCATCCCTTCTGAGAGACGGGATGAGGCTTTTTGTTGCTGAGAGGATTGATCGCGGGCAATATGAAAGGAAAGATCAAATGCATGTCTGAGCTGTTGGTGGCATGGACCCACCGGCTGCAGCTGTTCCCCACCGATAAACTCAAGGAGCACGCAAGCGCGGGAGAAATGTTTGATCGCTCCCTGCAATCAACCCACTGTGTCCACCACCCCTGGGCGCAATACGAAGCGAAGGACTTGCTCCAGATCGCCAGCTCGTCGTGCTCTCCTAAGGACCCAAGAACCCGTGCCTAGCGGTTGTCTGTGGGCTGGGTTAGGCTAGTATCTGTCGGCGAGTAAACGTGTGCCAGTAACCCCCGTTTCCCATGCGTGGTGTATAGTCTTGTTGTTGTTTATTGCCCTTTGCCTTTTGCTTTTGCTTTTGTGTTTTTCTTCCCATATCACCTGCGGCACGTGCCCCAACCCAGGATCGTGGGTGACAGACGTTGCCAAGAGACTTTATCTGGCCCACGCGCCAGGCATTGACCCGTGCTCGCGCAAAATTTTTTTACAGATGGTCATTTTCTCGGTGCGCGATCAGGCGTGCATGTCTCGGAGCTGTTTGTCCTGCCAAAGGCCGGGAGGAAGGTAGTGCGTGTTCGACCACGTGCTGGATGGAAGATGGCGGCTGAGGACGTAGATGGTACCTCGATTGGTACCTCGATACGGGTACCTGGACAGGTCGGGTCGGTGCGGTGTGCTATCTACGGCGGCGTTGCGGCTGTGGCATCAAATTCAATTATGGGTTGACTCAGACGCTCCTTCCTCTAGAGATGTTGTTGTCGGTAGCCGCCGCAGGACCTCATCTGTCGATTGGACCCCTGTCCCGCTGGTTGATGTGATGCCTGCGAAAGGCAATGGTACGGTACCTCAGCTGCCCGCCTCCCCCCTCCTTCGCCGCGCTCCACTCGCACTGGTCGTCTCGCACCCCTTTTTCTGCCGTCTTTGTTCTGCTTCGCTACTCGCTAGACTTTCCTTCGTTCGTCCAGGAAGCCCCAGGCGACGGCCACGGCCACGGACGCCCGCAATTTCCATCACAAACCCGTCGACCAGTGGCATGGCCGCTACCGCCCCCCCTGCTCCCTATAGTTTCTCCCGTTCTGGTTAAGCCGCGAGCTGCAGGGGGGTGGCAGCTCTGGGCCTAGCCAAGGTGCTGAAATCCCCTCGCCCGGCTGTGCGAGGTCCCAGGCCCTCGGCCCACTCCAGCCAGGCCAGGACCGGCCGAGATGCTCGGGCCTGCAGCCCTGCAGCCGCCGAGTATGGGGCTTTGCTATAGTGCCTGCCATAAGACGGGGCGGGAGATGAGGGTCGCAGAGTAGCATCGGAGGCACGCTGCCAGCTGTGCCCATGTCAGCGGTATAAAGGAATCCGTGCCGCCGCTGGATCCCTTCTCGTCAGTTCCCTTAGCCCCACGGTTCTCCAACCCTCACATTCGTTTCCGCCCACCACCAAGCTTGGTGCTGTGTTGGCTTCCTTGGGGTATTTTTACCCTGTCCTTCGTTTTACTCGCCGCTCACGGCAGCATCTGCCAGCATGAGGTCCACGCAACAGAGCACCTTTACGGTGCTCTCGGCCCTGGCCGCCGTCACCAACGCCGGTCTCGTCCGCCGACTCCCCCCAGCCGCCACCCCTCCCGCGGGTTGGGCTTACCAGGGATGCTATGTGTAAGATACCTGACTGCTTACTTCAGCCCACTGCAAGAGCAAATCTGACTTCGATATCCATTCTTCCACAGTGATGTCGGACGCACCCTGACTCTGGCCGCCACGGCCTCGGGTACCATGACGGCACAGGCATGCATCAGCTTCTGCACTTCCAAGGGTTTGCAGTTTGCTGGTACCGAGTACCATAACGAGTGCTGTAAGTTGTCGCCATAATGCCCCTTGTCTTGATTCGCGTCCTGACCGAATCCATCTCCTTGTCAACAGACTGTGGCAGCCAGATTGCTCCGACTGCCAACAAGGTGGCCGACTCCGAATGCTCGACGGCTTGCTCAGGAGACGCCACTCAGGGCTGCGGTGGGCCTAGTCGTCTTACCATCTACTATAGCGCCCAGCCTGTCGGTCCCCAGCCCAACCCATCGGTGAACGGCTTCAACCATGTCGGATGCTACACGTATGTTTACACCTCTTCTCGACACAAGGATCTTGACTGGTGGCTTCGAAAGGATGTTATGACTAACATACATACCAGCGAGGGAACGAACACGCGTGCGCTGGGAACTGGAGGCGGTGTTCCCGCTGCCAACGTGGATGCCACCACCTGCACGGCGGCCTGCCAGGCCAAGGGCTTCATTCTTGCTGGCGTTGAGTACGGCGGCGAGTGCTACTGCGGCAACTCCCTTGGCGCTGGCTCGGTGCCGGCTTCGAGCGGCTGCAACACCATCTGCAACGGCAACCCGAACGAGATTTGTGGAGGCGCCAGCAGGCTCAACCTTTACAACTACCAGAACCAGTTCCCCATCTCTTCGTCCAGCAGCCAGGCAAACACTGCTTCTAGTGCTACCGCAGCGGCTTCGGAGTCCGGTACTGTCACACTAGCCGGTTCCGAAACCGTGTCATCAACCCCTGCTGCAGCCACCCCCACCGCTCCGGGCCAGCCAGCCATCGTCGGAGCGTACAAGTGGTACGGCTGCCAGACCGAGGCCACCGGTGCCCGCGCTCTGGGCGCCCTCACCCGGGCTGACGATCTGATGACACTTGAGATGTGTGCGAGCGTCTGCGCTGGCTACACCTACTTCGGCGTCGAGTATGCCCGGGAATGCTACTGCGGCAACAGCTTTGCGGCTGGCTCTGTGGCTGCCCCTGCCTCGGAGTGTAGTTTCACCTGCCCCGGCAACCAGTTCCAGTACTGCGGAGCTGGCAACCGTCTCTCGGTCTATTCGCTCAACGGCCCGGCCAGCTCTTCGAGCGTTACCGGCACCACCGCAACGGGCACTGCGACGGCCACGACCAGCGCTGCTGTCCCCACCGGCATGCCCGCCGGCTTCACGTACCAGGGTTGCTGGATTGATGGACCTAACGGCCGTGCCCTGCCAGACTACCAGGCTCCCGATTCGCAGGCCCTCACCCAGGAGTCCTGCGCACAGCTTTGCAACAGCCGCGGCTTCAGCGTCTCGGGCACCGAGTACTCGACCCAATGCTTCTGCTCCAACGCCGTCTACGCCGGCGGTGCCAAGACGGCCGAGTCGGAGTGCAACATGCCCTGCTCCGGCAACCCCGCCCAGAAGTGCGGTGCTGGTGGCCGCCTCACCATCTACAGCAATGGAGTTCCCCAGACGTTCCAGCCGCCCGCACCCCAGACTGCCGGTCTCGACAACTGGGCCTATCAGGGCTGCTACGTGGACAACGTGAACGACAAGCGCACATTCTTCTGGAAGCTCGAGTTCCCTGGCACCATGACCCCCAAGATGTGCCTGGACCGCTGCCACAAGTACGGCTATGCCGCTGCCGGTCTCGAGTACGGCCAGGAGTGCTACTGCGGTGACCCGCAGAACGTCATTACCCAGGGCTCCACCAAGCGGCCCGAGTCCGAGTGCGGCGTCATCTGCGCTGGCAACGCCACGGCCATCTGCGGTGGCGGCTCGCGTCTGACGACCTACTTTTGGACCGGCGCGCCTCTCTACTCGTGGACCTTCCCGGCTACCCCGGCTGCCGGTGCTGGCAAGTACGACCTCCTGATCGACGGCGTCACCATCCCCCTGATTGCGCAGGAGGGCATTAACGGCAAGGTCGCCTTCCTGTCCAAGTGGGGTACTGGTCCCGGCAACGAGACTGGTGCTTATGAGCTGGATATCTCCATGATCCCGACCAACCCTACCGGCGCTTGGAGGACGCTTCATGTCAAGACCGACGTCTTCTGTGCTGCTGGTGTTACGCTACCCGACCGGGCTGGTCGCATGCTCAATATCGGCGGCTGGTCTGGCGAGTCGACCGAGGGTGTGCGTCTGTTCGCCCCCTCGGGCACCAACGGCGTCCCTGGCACTACCGACTGGCAGGAGAACGTCAACCAGCTCAGCCTGCAGAAGGGCCGCTGGTATCCGAGCGCCATGGTCATGGCCAACGGCTCCGTCATGGTCATCGGTGGTCAGGTTGGCTCCAACGGCGCTGCCGTGCCCTCCATCGAGGTGCTCCCCTTTACGGGCTCCGCACCCGTCTATATGGACTGGCTCGACCGCACCAACCCTGACAACCTGTACCCCTTCGTTGCCGTGCTGCCCGGAGGCGGCATCTTCGTCGCCTACTATAACGAGGCCCGCATTCTTGACGAGAGCACCTTTGCTACCACCAAGGAGCTGCCCATGATCCCCGGTGCCGTCAACGACGACAAGTCTGGCCGCACGTACCCACTCGAAGGCACCGCCGTGCTCATGCCCCAGAAGGCGTCCAACGGCTACGCCGACCTTGAGGTGCTCATCTGCGGTGGCTCTGCCAACGGTATCTCCAACGCCCTGGACAACTGCGTCACCATCGCGCCTCAGGCCGCCAACCCTGCCTGGGTCATGGAGCGCATGCCCTCGCCTCGCGTCATGCCCTGCATTGCTCCTCTGCCTGACGGAACCTACTTTGTTGGCAACGGTGCCAAGGCCGGTGTCGCCGGCTTCGGTCTCGCTACCAACCCCAACCTCAACTCGCTCCTCTATGACCCGTCCAAGCCCGTTGGCTCGCGCTTTACCGTGGGTGCCAACACTACTATCGCGCGCATGTACCATAGCGAGGCCATCACTCTTCTTGACGGCCGCGTTCTGATCTCGGGATCCGACCCTGAGGATGGCGTCAACCCGCAGGAGTACCGTGTCGAGGCTTACACGCCCCCGTACCTGCTGACCGGCAAGCCGCGCCCGAGTTTCGCCATCACCAACAAGGACTGGGCCTGGGGCCAGGCTGGCATCCCAATCACTCTGGGTGCTGCCGCCCAGAACGGCGGTGCCGGCATCACGGCCACCCTGCTGGGCTCCGTGGGGTCGACCCACGGCAACTCGATGGGTGCCCGCACTCTCATGCCTGCCATCCGCTGCGCGGGCACTTCGTGCACCATCGACGCCCCGCCCAACGCCCACGTCTGCCCTCCCGGCTGGTACCAGCTCTTCATCCTCGACGGTGGCGTGCCGGCGGTTGGTGTCTATGTCCGCATCGGTGGCGACCCCGCCGGTCTGGGCAACTGGCCTACTGGCAGCACCTTTACCAAGCCTGGTATTGGTCCCGTCCAGCAGTAAATGTGGGCGCGGCTTTCACGTCCCGTCCTGCCTTTCCGCTCTTTGTCGCTTTTCCCTGTAGCCCATAACTACGTAATAGCAGGGCATGTCTTTAGCGTTTCCTCTTAGATAATCAATCAATACCAGCCTGCGCTTCTTTGCTTCCTACTTGCATGACCATTTCTGTGCTACGCTACATGATGAAGTCGGGGGCTGACATGTCAAGCTATATCAATCATGCATACGCCCGTCACCCGCTTTCTTTGAGTTTGTATGTTCAAGGTTTAATTATACGGGACAAGGATCCGCCCCGAGCACGCGAAACACGACGCCCTCAAAGGCCTCCCGCTCGACGGCGGCGCCAAAGCGCACGCACTTGACGACGCCGACGAACCCCCGCTTGAGCGCGTCGGACACGTCGGCGCGCAGCAGCAGCGCGGCGGGGAACCGGGCCGCGAGCTCGAACCAGGCCTGCACGGGCGTCAGCTCGGGCCCCGCGAGCGGCGCGAGCGACTGCGCCAGCCCGTGCAGCGCCGCCAGCGTCAGGCCCGACGCGCGCCACGAGTCCGCGCCGCCCGCCAGCTCCGACACCAGAGCCGTGGGGCTCGGCCGCCGCCGCGCGTCGGCCGCGGC